AAAAGATATATATATATATAAACTTGAGTTTCAGAAAATGTATTGGATGCTATACTTTGATTTTTCTCTTACAGACTTCAAAAATACTTTCATATTTATTAATTTTGTTAGTAAAAGCAAAAAGTTAATTTGCTATGCTTTGGAATACAAACAAAATTTTAGTGTCATTGTACACAGGAGAAATTATTCTATATATCAACAGGAACACTTGCTGTTTGGAAAAGAACACTGGTCAAACTAGAATAAAGCTTTATTTTTGTTTGTAGCATCTTTTGTCTACAGATTGCATACAAAAGAAAATGTATTCAAGACAATGTCCAGGGAGATCCCCATTTGTACCAAAACATTTTTTTTTTTAAATATCTACTTTGTTATCTAAAGTAATGACAACGTTATAACCAAATAAATAGACCCATAGCTGAAATTTAAAAATTGCTCTGGGAGAGTGAAACCAGTTAAAGATGCAGATTTTAGAGACATCACCCTGTTACTGGCTTTACCATGCAGGACAGCAGCTTAGTATGTTCATACTTTACCGGCTGCATACTTGCTCCAGGTCAGGTGGTCAGCTTGGGATACACATCTCTAAAATAAGCCATTGATGGCAGCATCAATATATATTCAAGTTTTTAACATTTAAAGAACAATACAAATGTTGTTGTCATGCCTTTGTGTGATGTCACAGTATGTCCTATAATGGTTTAGCCAAGGAGAGGTGCACTTACAATTTACTGAATGACTGCACCAAGAACATCAATTACAGCAAAAACCATAGAGTAACACACACAGATGCCACAGCTTTCTGTACAAACTATGAATTAAGCATTCCAGAGGCTTTAAGAGCAGCATTTGGGCACACCCACTGTGATCTTGGTTCCTATAATGGTTCCTATAAACTCAGCATGCAAATATAACATGCAAGAAAATAGATGTATAATTATGCTGTTGGAGGTTTTAAAGTTACAAGCATCAGAGCTACCTTATTTATGCTTCACATCTTTGTAAGCCACTGACCCAAAGTAAGCATGCAGCCAGAGAAATGTCACCACAATTAATACACATGCGCTTGGTTTGCCACAACAACCTAATAAAAAGTGAAGGAGATGAAGAATTATAGCGCCATGACATGCATCTCCAAACACAACCACCCCCCTTCCTTTCCCATTGAAAGAAAAGGACATCTGGGTAATGCCATATTTAACATTGCTGACCTTAAAGTAAATGCCCCACCACTTTTCTTTTTCAACAATCACATTTGGCTGAACCAGAATACTATACCGGTTGACTGTACTGCTTTGGCCTAATGGTCCTCATTAGCAAAGGCTTGATGGCTCTGGTTAGCATGTGAATGCCGCAGATGCTACTTTGTTAGAGTACATAAGTGCCAATAGGGAGATAAAAAGCCAAAATAAAAAGAAAAAAGTTTCCTTTTTACTTTTAGATACAGTAGAAAAGGGTTAGAACCTATGTTGGCTTTTTCATGTCTATCTTACAGCTGGTTAGACTAATTCCTTTATCTGTCCTGGTGACCCAGTCACTGGGGCAGAAAGTAATGGGAAGTCCAAAATTGTTCAGCTGTTTTGGCTACAGATACACTTTAAAATGTATCTCCACAATATATATTTCTTACCTTTTAAAATGTGCGCGTACAAGGCCTTTGCAAGCTTTTATCTCAATTTTAAAGTGACATGAAACGCTGGCTGTCTTCAAAGAAAGGCTAAGGACCGTTGTTAGAGAACTATGGAATAAGTGTTTTTCCCCGTAGTTCTCCTAAGGGTCACGGGAGGACATATACTAGCGTCCTCCCGTGACCCAAAGCTCAGTATATAGCAAGCTACAGCTCGCAGTATACCGAGGCCGCCGCAGTCCGGACGGATCCCGACATTACTGTTGAGATCCACCCAGCTGCGTGAGTGATAGCTGGCTCTGCCTATCTAGAGGCAGAGCCAGCTGCACCCGTCCCCTCCCCCGTCCGTTCCTCCAGTCAGCGCTGGAGGATCAGAGCAGGTAGGGAGGGATTCCCTGCAGGGAGCCGTGAGTGACAGACATGGCTCTCTTCAGGGAAATGAGCGAGAAGTGAGCAAGCGACGGTATGTGTTCGCTCACTTCCCGATCGATAGACCAGCCGTGTGACAGTTTCATTGTCACACGTCGGCTCGAACTATGAGGATGATTTCTTCGGGACGCAGAAGCGATCTGGCGACAGGTAAGTCGCCAGGATCGCTTCTGTTGTAAAGCCGACAGTCGGCTCTACAAGTTTAAACAGAGTCCCGGCGGCAAAAGTCGCCGGGAGTCTGTTTAAACAGCCCCGATGCTGGCGACGTACACTGTACGTCGTCAGTCACGAAGGGGTTAACGTACGATGCTTTTAGATTTTTAACCATTTCTTACAACAGTGTACAAATCTAGTTTACAATTCATAAGCCAGCACAGACAGGGTTAATTGTGTTAACATTCACCTGCCCAGCCCCCAAAGGAAAATTCAGCACAAAGAACACCTTTTCTTTAAGAATAGAGCAAGTAATATATATATAAAGCATATTTTTTTAAGTTATGCTATGTGACTGAGAACATGTAACAAATATAAAGTAGGTGTTAATTCCAATTTGTCTGCAAAAGTAGAAATACACTTAAAAGGCAATGTCAACCATAAATCAGTTATTGCTAACACTTTTCTACACTGCCTTGCCCAAATAAAAAAAATTTAACAAGTCAGCTCCCTGAATTTAGTAAAGCAAATGGGTAAGAGCCTTCCATTGGATAATTACTGCAGTGATTAATACGATTCAATTGGCAACAAGTTATGTAACCCTTACTAATGCAGTGAGTAGCTTCTCATTTCTTAAACAACCGTGTCAGAAAACATAACCTTTGGTCAGGAAAAGATGTAACTCTGTTTCAAAAGGGTCGGATTATTGGCCTGCATCATGCAAAGAAAATAACTAAGGCGATTGCTGAAACTACTACAATTGGGTTAAGAACTGTCCAACACATTATTAAAGCCTGGAAGGATAGCAGTGAACCATCATCTTCCAGGAAGAAATATGGTCGGAAATAAAGTCTTGAATGATCGTGACTTGAGATCACGTTGCACCAAAAAGACCTCAAGGGATTGGGACTAACTGCTGTGTATCCTTAAGAAAACCACTTATCAGTGAGGCTAAATTAGAAAAACAAAAAAGGTTCAATTTGCTATGGAGCATAAAGACTGGACTCTGATGCAATGGAAAAAGATTTACCCTGTTTTAGAGTGATGGGTGCATCAGGATAAGAAGAGAGGCTGATGAAGGAATGCAAACATCATGCCTATTGCCTACCGTACAAGCCTGTGGGGGCAATGTTATAATCTGGGGTTGCTTAAGTTGGTCAGGTCTAGGTTCAGCAACTTTATGTCCCCAAACAAAGTGAGGTAAGCTGACTACCTGAATGACTAGGTTTTTCCATCAATTGATGTTTTTCTTCCCTGATGTCACGGGCATATTACAAGAGGACAATCCCAGGATTCCTCATTGGAATATGCCCATGCCTCAAATTGTGAAAGAGTCCAGACCTTAACCCTATTGAGAATTTTTGGGATTCGCTGGAGAAGACTTACACAATAGTCTGACTCTCCCATAACTACTACAAGAACTTGGTGACAAATTAATACAACTCTGGATGAAAATAAATGTTATGATATCCCATAAGCTTATCGAAACAATAATACAGCGAATGCATGCCGTACTTAATGCGGTCCAATTAAATATTGTGTAACTTTTTTTGGTCAAGCAGTGTTTGTTGATCGGTTCCCTTTTACTTTATCCTAAATACATGTGAGAAAAAACGGTTTTATGCACTTGCTGCTATTCATGCCAGTAAATCAACTAACCTGCCGGAACTGTCCTTCTGACACACCATCTCGGTAGAAGATGATTCGGGTGGGTTTGAACCTTGTGGATTTGTAGAACTGGATCAGAAGCTCCCTCACCATGGAAGCAAGATCATGGATAATCTCCTGCCGAGGGCGCTGCACCCTAACTGTGGCACAGTATCGGCTCGGGTGTGCATCCATACTGCCTACAACCTAACACAAATACCAAAGTGTGAGACATCCTTCAAAGTATAAAAACTCAATAAAACAAAGGAAACTGCACTCTGAAGACTTATTTACATATTAGAGTTTTAATGGGGCGTACATTTCCTGCACACCGCAAGTAAATGAAAAGAAGTGTTGTATATCTTTGTAGGAAACAGTGCTAGTCAGATAAGTCCAGTTACATGAGGTGTGTTGTTGAAGTGCTCAAACTCATGTATGCATTGTTTTGAGTACCCTTTACACAGTACATAGGGACAGGTACTGACCTAAGACACCTTGTAACACTTGAACTGCATTTTAAAAGCCACATGACTTTTCAACATACTTGCGTACAGGTACAGATGTGTGCCCCAGGATGCAGGCAGTCTGTGTCCAGGGACATACATCTGCAACTCTACGCAAATACACATTCAGAGCAGCTTTTACAGTGTACAGCCAGAGGCCATCATTGATTTGTACAGTTGGGTTGTACACCACATTTGTGACTCCAGAATGCAGAGATCCGGACGTTTTTTTTTTACACCGTATGAATGTCAATGGGCTTTGTTCGCATGAAGTGAGTTTAGCATGTCTATGGGAATGCAAAAAACTCACTTGAAGCCTCACAATGTACGCAGTTGTTTACGATATCAAAAAAGCGAGCAATAACCCTTTCTGTAAAAAGATGGAGCAAAAACATGCAATACATGCACTTACAGCAGCAATTGAAGGCTTTTTGCCATCACCAGCAGGAGGGTGAGTAACATCTGCTCCTAAGAAGATCACAGGTTGTTGGAAAACAGACGGTCTATTGAAAAGTCACAAACAAAATTAAAATCAAGAAAAGAAAATATATAAACAGTTTTTGAACAAGTCCATGAACTCAACAGAAAAAAAATAACAGAAAAATAAAGTCCCATACAATAACTGTACTCCTTGGGTCTTCACTCAATGTAAAAAAATAGGATTTTTGTACTCACCGTAAAATCCTTTTCTCTCCGTTCATTGAAGGACACAGGGCAACAGATCGTAGATCCTGAATGGTAGGGACGTCACCAAGCAGTAACACACTGAGGGATGGGCAACAACAAACAAAAAACACCCAAAAGACCCCTCAAAGCGCCGCCTGCAACACTTTGCGCCCCAAACCAGCATCCGCCGATGCGAACACGTCCACCTTGTAAAATTTAACAAAGGTGTGAACAGAAGACCAAGTACAAACTTACAAACCTGAGAAACAGAGGCCCCATGGCGGAAAGCCCAGGACGCCCCAACAGCCCTAGTAGAAAGGGCAGTGACAGGAAATGGAGGCTCACGCCCCTTAATGGCGTACGCCTGAGTCACAACAGTACGAATCCACCTAGAGATGGTAGCCGCCGACGCGGCCCGACCCTTACGAGGACCCTCCGTAAGCACGAACAGGGAGTCGGTCTCGCGGAAAGAAGCCGTAGTGTCCAAATAAACACGAAGAGCACGAACCACATCCAAACAGTGGAGCGCACGCTCCTTCCTATGGACCGGCTTCGGACACAGGGAAGGTAAGACAATGTCCTCATTCAGATGGAATGCCGACACAACCTTCGGCAGGAACGCCGGCCGAGGACGGAGAACCGCCTTGTCCCGATGCAAAACCAGCAACGGAGACTTGCAAGACAAGGCAGCCAACTCCGACACCCGCCGAACGGAAGTGATGGCCACCAAAAAGGCCACCTTCTGTGACAAAGATATAAGTGGAATCTCCCGAAGAGGTTCAAACGGGGAACCCTGCAACACAGAAAGCACGAGATTCAAATCCCACGGAGCCAAAGGCGCGCGGACAGGGGGAGCAATGCGTGTCACCCCCTGAACAAAAGTGCGAACCAGAGCATTAGACGCCAAAGGCCGCTGGAAAAGCACCGCCAAGGCAGAGATTTGGCCCTTCACAGTACTCAAGGCCAGCCCCTGAGCCACCCCGCGCTGCAGGAACGCAAGGATCCTGCTGATGGAAAACAAACGTGGGGACAAGGCCCCAGCCTCACACCAGGCAAAATAGGCCCTCCAGGTACGATGGTAAATTTTCCTGGAAACCGCTTTGCGCGCTCTGAGCATAGTGGAAATGACCGCATCGGACAACCCCCGGTCCCTCAGGACCTGGCTCTCAACAGCCACGCCGTCAAAGCTAGCGACTGTAAAGAAGGATGGAACACAGGACCCTGGGACAGAAGATCGGGGCGCAGAGGCAGGCGCCATGGGGCGTCCACCACCAGCTGAATCACATCTGCGTACCACGCCCGCCGAGGCCAATCCGGGGCCACGAGGACGACGGTGACGCCCTCGACCGCGATCCGACGGAGCAGCCGAGGCAACAGATACAGTGGAGGAAAGGCGTAAATCAGGCCGTAGTGGCCCCAAGGGGCCACCAGTGCATCCACGCCCTCTGCCCAGGGATCCAGAGCCCGGGCCACAAACCTGTCCACTTTGCGGTTGAACCGAGACGCCAGAAGATCCACTTCCGGCGTCCCCCAGCGACGACAGAGCTGCTGAAAAACCTCCGGGTGCAGAGACCACTCCCCCGGATCCACCGACTGTCGACTGAGGTAATCGGCCAGCCATTTGTCTACTCCCGGGATGTAGACCGCCGAGAGAGCCAGAACTCGATGTTCCGCCCAGGACAGAATCCCGAACACCTCTCGACCCGCGGCCACGCTTTTTGTGCCGCCCTGGTGGTTGCTGGACCCGGACCGCCACACCCTGGAGCCGGTCGACCAATGAAGGAGAGAGAGGCGAATCGCCCGAAGTTCCAACACATTTATCGACAGACGGAACTCCTCCGGCGACCAACGACCCTGCACGGTCAATGAGCCCAAGACCCCGCCCCAAAGGCTGGCGTCCGTGGTGACCACCGTCCAATGTACCGGAAGAAAAGACTTCCCCTCCAGCAAGACCGGAGAGTGAAGCCACCACCGCAGGGAGGCCCTCGCCTCCCGAGAGATCCGAATCTCCCTGTCCAAGGACAGGGGGGACTTGTCCCACTGTACCAGGATGTTCCTCTGCAGGGTCCTGGTATGGTGTTGCGCAAAGGGCACCGCCTCGAAGGAGGCCACCATGAGACCCAGGGCCTGCATGCAACCCCGAATGGGCGACCACTGGCGAGCCCTCAGTAGCCTGACCCTGGAACGGAGCTTCAGGAGCTTGTCCCGGGGAAGAAAGACCCGGGCCGCGACCGTGTCCAGAACCAAACCCAGATACTCCAGGCGTGGCGAAGGCACCAGACAAGTTTTTCGCAGGTTCAGAAGCCACCAGAACTCCTCCAAGGACTGCACCGTGACCCTCAGGGCCGTCACCATGGATGAATGCGACTCTGCCCGTAGGAGCAGATCGTCCAGGTGCCCCACGATCGAAACACCCCGACAACGCAACAGCGCCAGAATCGGGGCCAGCACCTTGGTGAACACACATGGAGCCGACGCCAGCACGAAGGGCAGCGCCACAAACTGAAAGTGGTCCTCCCCCACCGCGAAACGAAGATATCGCTGATGAGACTCGCAAATGGGTACATGAAGGTATGCATCCCGAATATCGATGGAGGCCAGCAGATCCCCTTGACGGAGCCATGCCACCACGGACCGGATGGACTCCATCCGGAACCGACGGACCCGCACGAAGGCGTTCAAGCGTTTGAGGTCCAGGATGGGCCGCACCCCCTCTTTCTTGGGCACAGTAAACAGGTTGGAATAAAACCCCTGGAACCTTTCCGCGGAGGGAACAGGCACAATCACCCCCTGGGACCAAAGGTCCGCCACCGCGCGATG